ACCGGCGAGACGATAGCAACAAACCGCCCAGCAACAAACTTTTTCCTTTATATTTCCACCTACTTCTAGGGCCCATATCTTTGTTATTTAGAAAGATAGCGAAAAACTAAGCACACGGTTGGAAAGCTTGGTCGTTTCTCTATCCTAAACCGAGTTTTCGTCCGCCGATATGTTGATAATAAGAGCAAGAAAAAATAAGAAACGTCGCGCTACATTCAATTTACCTCAAAATTACCAAACTTCACGGCCTTGTGCAGCCGTTAACAGATGGAAATTCAATAAATGGCTTATATATTCGGAAAGAGCTGAGCTTGGGCTATCTTATTCCGAGTTTTCGTCCGCCAATATCTATCAGCGTCTGTAAGAAAACCCCACCTGAAAAAGCCCCTACCGATAAAAACACGCAAATATTTCTTGCACTAATAACTTTCCTATTTGACAGGGAGAAAATTCTACAACTATATTCAGCTTATGGGAAATTTCCTGCTCTTTCGCTAGTTTTTAGTTTTTCGCTATCTTTCTAGATAACCAAAATATTGGACCGAAAAGTAGACGGAAATACAAGGAGAAAGTTTGTTGCTGAGCGGTTTGTTGCTATCGTCTCGCCGGTTTGAAAATAACATTTGATTTAAATAAAATAGTAATTTGAAAGCCTTGTTACTTTTTTTATTAATTCAATTAAACATGCACTTTAGTTTAACCTACTTTCCTATGCATTTACTACCACGATTTCCTAAATAAATAATTCCTTTTATTGCCGAGGCGTCAAATTATTATCTAGAGAACGTGAAAATCTCATTACATTCTCAGCCACTTAAATAGGCTCCGTACCGTTTGTTGAAAGTAACCATATAATAGCCAATTGATTTGAATTGCAAATGAAATTTCTTAAATTCTTGTCAAATACGATCCTGTGCATTTTGAAGTAAATGGTCAGTTTGTTTGCACGTACCAGTGTACAAAAAAGGCACATGACATCCTGATCATTCTCGAAGCTTATATAACGCGGGCGTACCAACTGTACGATTTCGTCGCTTTCTTATATTCCAGTTTTTATAATTTATACCGGGGACCCTGCTCCTGCTGTTGTTGTTGTTACCGTGCCTGACTCGTTTTTTACGTCGCAGTTGCCACCGCGACTCGGACGATTGCGAATCGACGATGCGCGATCGGTTTTTTTGCGACAAATATGGTGACTCAACCAGTTTAATTGTTTAAACTTAGTACAGTACTATATGATTCGATTCAAAGTGATTCAATTCTAAGTGGTTTAATTTTTTCGGATTTATTTAATAACTTGGCAAAAAAAGTAAGTGCTAAAAGTAAGGAAGGTACGTCTTCATTCCAAATGATCCCAATATTAAATCTTTTATGATTTCTATTTGTTTGAATGAGAAGGGTGCGTCTATTAAAATGTATTTTTTGATAACAACCTATTCTTCATCTGTCAAACGTGAATGCGAAAATACATCGTCACATAGATACATACGTTTAATGTCGTGCTTCTCCATTATATGTAAATCTAGATACCGCTAGCCATTTTTTTGTCCTTTACGATTTCATCGTCGGTATTCATGAGATTCCGTCATCGTTTGTATCACTGAGAGGACGTGTGGAGAACATAATTATAGTGATGATATTTATTTTCTTCCTATATCTGGTGGGATATACATAGAAAGTATAATCAATAGAAGATTAAAAACGTCGGTTTCATTTGCATCTAGTTAACATTTACAGTTAGATACGTTCTAATCTTTATCAATATAAAATTAAACGAATTATACATAAAGAATTGTTAAGTAGAAAAAGTTGTCAGGACGTCACTAATCAAATACCATTTATTTGCCAATTAGTCATCATTATCCAATGAACCACTTCAAATATTTAACAACATCAACGGTCAATTCACTTAAAAGACGAAATGAGTTGTTTTCTTATACACTACCCACGTTCTTTACCATCGTCCTTGAGACCTACTCAAATAAACTACTCACATATTTTCCCTTTTAAAGCAAATTTCTATTGGCGATGAACGTTTAATGTTTAAGCATCAAACGTTTTCTCTTCGCCGACAACGACCAGGTACACTTCTCTTCTCACTAAACGCGTAGGAAGAAGGGTAAATAGTGGATCGGCAAATGTTTTCCCCACATTTCAAAACAAACGAGCCTCGCCGATTGACATTTGTCTGGCGACGCGCCGCGACCGTCTCGCAAATAACCACGTCAATTACAATTTTCTATTGGCCAATATAGAACATTAGACGGTCGTGGGAACGACGGACGAATCGTAGTCGTCTTATAAATACGTTTCGTTCTACGGCCACGACCCTCACAATGCAGATTAATTGTGGCACGGCGGAGTAATGGCGTGTCTCCATGGCCCACCGCGATGGAGATCTATCCTATGGAGGGACGCGGGCGAAAGCTTTTTCCCCTCCGGACTGCCGGGTTATCTATTGGCCAATTTATCTAATGGACTATCCAGCCGGCCCGGTATTACGTACAAGAATTAATGCTTCAACCAACGGTGACAGCAGGAACGAAACTATTTCGTTACGCAAAAATATTGATGTATACTAATATTTCACTAATCCTTCTAATTTCTTTAACTAACCACATTTTTACTTACTTATTTTATCATTTAAAAGGAGTGCTTTTCTAAAACGGAAAGATTTGTGATATTTTAGAATTTCTGATGTAAAGTCAGAATCCAAACCGTTTTCTCAAAATTTGTTGTCTTAGTTCTACCCCATGTTATTGGTGTAGTGTAGTCGAGGAATGGGAAGAGAAATATGCCTTTTGCAGTGGTAGAGTACCCATCATTTATTGTGACATCTGTCTTAATACCTATCCGTCACATCCTCACAATACAAAGTTTATAGAATCTCATCACGCAACATTTGTAAATACAATTAGAAGATTTTTGTGCAACAATGTAGATGCAAATTACGAATAACTAATTAATGTACTGTTAGTTTTCTACAAATTGAAAACGACAAGATCGGAATTTCTAATTTTCCCACTACCATAAGACCTGCTCTTCACAATGCAAACTTACCAGTATCGACTCCCCCTTTAGATTAGCAAGATATTGTTTTGTGCTGATGAACAGTGCACCCTCTTTTATCCAGTTCAATCAAGACAACAAACAGGACTTCTTGGTTTTCATCTTAAGGAGTAGAACTTACTAGCCAAAGAGATTTTCAACAAATATTTTTAATGTTTGCTTTTTTCTTAGAAGTTGACTATAAATTATAAATAACAAAACTGCATTGAATATTGAACATCTGCGATCATATCTGTTATAAACTCTTATGAGATTACATAATATCTCGAGAAAACTGGTAAAACTGGTCATCTTTAGAGGTTTTTAATTGCTCGTATCGAAATCGAGCCGTATTTAGTTGAAGATTGACTTTCACCGATTTTATAAGATGAAAGGGCGCCCGCGCCAGGTTGTTCGGGAGTATGCATATAAAAAAAATCAGATCGGGCTTTATTATTTACAGTTGTGATCGAAATAATGACGCAACGCAGTCGCGGAGGCAATAGCCTCGGAATTAACGGGTAAGAGCGTGTTAAATTCGGCTATTCAGAGATGTGAGCTATCCGATTTCTTGTCTCGGAATTTAGCCGTGTTGCAACCCGAAGATTTTCGTAAGATTTCACGTCTGCGCGAACTTGTTTACCGCGACAAACAAGCCGTATTCCTCTCACACAACAACATTTATTCTCGGTGATGCGTGATCACCAACGCTAATTGTTGCTAATTGTAACTTGACCGTGGTCGGTCGAGTTTGGATATCGTTTTTTTACTTTTCCTGAACGCACGACGTTATTGTTGTTATTACAGTGCCGAGGGAACCACTCCGAGTTACCAGTGTTGACAGGGAACCCCATCCAAACGCGTCAGCCGTCCGAAAAGAAAAATTACCCACTTCCAAAGAAGAACTTATTAAGGAGGCCTCCAAAGTTTTACAACGAGCCGATCGCGTCGGTTGTGTCGTCCAAAATAGTGGTGAGTCAATAGGCAAATTAGCGATTTTTTTTTGGATCACAGTGTCTTAACTCGTTCTGATAGACGGACGATTAATATAAACGCGGCTATTAATATGTATAGAGGGGGCCCATTACGGCCGGCGAATCGTCGGCACCTTTGCCTCGATGTCCGGCGCTAAATTTGACCTGCGCCGTTCCATCCCCTATTAATAAAAGTAATTAAAACGTTCCGATATCGTTATTTCCAATTTATAAGCCGCGCTCTCGCAAAAGCAAACACACGTGGGTCTGCGTTTCCAATTAAAATTCCGAATTAATTAAATTGCGCTATTTGTTGCTCTACGTAGACGCATAGCTCTATAACATCTACACACAAAATACATACATTGAAATCTTTTATAGACATACCTACCTATATTGAGTGAATAATAATAATTATGATATAAAAAGATTAACTTGTATTAAAGAAGAGATCCAAATTCAATGTTGATTTTTCGTTTATAATTTTTTGTGCTTATAATTTTATTATACTGAAAGAGTTAAAAATAACAAAGAGTAATAAAATGAAACGTTTCTTTAAATATGATTTGAACGTAATTACACACTTAATAGGTAATAAAATATTATATATAATAAAATCCTTGACACGAAACGATGTCCTCCCGTGGTTAATGTATTAGGTGTCACCACTTAGATCTCATGACATTAAATAAATTGGCGCGTGTTTGGGAAAAGGGGTATAAGTCTAAAAAAGAAGTTTTGAGAAAATCGATGTTAAACTTGTAAATGTTTAAAGATCTCGCAAATTAATATTTGGCCGAAGTTTTTGGTGCTTTTTTTTTAGATAACCATAAAAATGGTGGTCTTTTCAATGGGTTGTCCTAAAAATATAAAATATTGTTGCCATAAGAAAAAAAAATGCCTTTTATACCACTATTCATCAAATTTAATAAGAAAAAAAAATGCCTTTTATACCACTATTCATCAAATTTAATAAAAAATTTGTATTTTATGCTCCTTTTCACAAGAAGGTAATTATAACAATTATAAAAATTAACTAAGTGAAACCATTACAAAAGGCAGCAGGTGACAAATAATAAAATCATAGATTTTAAATGAACAAAAAAGATGTAACGTGTGCAGAACTTTCATTTTCTTCTTCCTTTTTCTTTCTTATTAGTTTTCGTCATCGCCACTTTCATCTTCGTCTGAATCAGCGTCAGGTAAAGAATTTCGTAAATCTTCTTTTGTTAATAGATTCTTATAAAAATCGTGAAAGGTTTCATTAACAAAAGGAAGAAGTTCAATAAGATTTGCTTTTTTCTCAGCGGTTATAGGATTTGAGGATTTGTATGACAATGGGACTTTAATACTTTTAGGCCACAAAGTACCTTTTCGTAAAAAATTAATTCTTTTAAACGGTGCGTGCACATCAAGGCTTGTCTTGTATTCTACTACACCAGGCTGTTGCGAGTACCTCAACCACTTAATATCTTTCCAGTATACTTTCTCACCGTCAGTGTTAATTTTTCTTTGTTGGAATAGACCTTTAAACAACGCCGAAAATTCAAAAAAGTCATCCCTTTTCATTTCAATCACTTGAAATTTTTTTTTGGAACCACAAAGTCGTACCAAGTTTGCCCAATCTCTTGGATGATCGATTGGAAGTGGATGTTTTTTCTTCTTCTTTTCGATAATTGAGTGAACTCCGCCACATTCCATATGTGTGTGTCCAGGAACTAGAAATTTGTGATCGATGCACTGTACATAAGGAAGATCCTTCATGGCAAGCATGAACATTAAACACAGAAAAGAATTTTTGTTTTGACCAGCACAAGTATCTGAATAAAATGTGATTTCTTTCACATGTTGCGAACTTTGTTTCAAATACTTGTGCAGACAAGAAGCTATTTGGTTGCCACCCCTGGCCGCAACAGCTTCATGCCACATGAAATTGAAAGCCTTTTTGTCATTGCATCGGTATAGTGTTAAATTATACGTCCATAATTGGCGTTTATAAAACGCCACTGAAGTTTCAATTGCCGGAGTGGGAAGACACTGTTGCAAGTCAAAAGTCAGTACTTCTTTAAATGAGTCTGGCAATAATGCTAGCTCTTTGTCTTGACGTTTGGCTTCATATGCCTCTTCTGCTTCTCTTTGGTGCTTCTCAAGATTGTTTCTTATTTCTTCTTTTTTGGGAACATTGGAGTTTACTTTAAGTAACATATTATACTTATCACATGATGCACAAGTGTCTTTATTCAACGATTTAATTTTTATTCCCAATTCGTGAAATTTAGTTTGGTATATAAATCTGGAAACNGAAATTATTAGTAGGATTTAATTTAGAATTATTATAGAAGTCAACAACATCCTGATCAACAACCCCTCCCAATTCAGAAGATCTAGCGAAATAATCATTTATCTCATCTGCATTACCTAAACTCCCGGGCAATGGTTGGCGCCTCTGTCGGCTTTATAACGGCTTTGTTGTTATTAGTTATACAGTGAATTTCACTCAAGATGTAATATACAAAAATATATTCCATAGAAACCAGGGCGTAGTGGTAGGTAGCGCTAGTTAGCATATCACTATGTTTATATGTTTATTCCACTAAAACTAGAACTAACACTAGACCTAGAACTCAGACACACGGCTAAACCCGATACTTTCTAGTTCTAGGTCTAGTGTTACTTCTAGTTTTACACTAACACTATCACAAGACCTAACACAGCACTTAGACCTCGAGAATTAGAAATATTCGGGTTTAGCCGTCTTGAGAGACGTGAAAGAAGAAATAGAAATCTGAATGTTTATAGTTTTCGGTCTAGTGTTAGTATTAGTTTTGTACTAGCACTATCACTAGAACTAACACTAGACCGAGAACTAGAATCATTCCGGTTTAGCCGGAATGGTTTAGTCGGATTGAAACTCGAATGTTTCTAGTTCTATGTCTAGTGTTAGTTCTAGTGGCAGTGGCAGTTAGCGCTAGTTACCGTAAGATATCGCTATGTTCATATTTCTATTGTACTAAAACTAGAACTAACACTAGACCTAGAACTAGAAACATTTCTTTCAGATACTTTCTAGTTCTAGGTCTAGGTTAGTTTAGGTTAGTTCTAGTTTTACACTAGCACTATCACTTGAACTAACACTAGAACTAGAATCTGGAGAGACGTGTGACTAAATCCGAATGTTTCTAGTTCTAGGTCTAGTGTTAGTTCTACTTTTAATTGTTATTTAGCGTTAGATTGTGGTATATTTTTATTGAACGAAAAGTAGAACTAACACTAGACTTAGAACTGGAAACATTCGGATTTAGCCGCTCGTCTCTTAAAGGTGGGTTCATGCAAAGTGTTTTAGTTTTAGTCATAGTCATAAGCGTTTGCTTTAGCTGTAGTTATAAGGAAAGGGATCGGTTCATGCAATATTTAAGCACAGCACATTAAAGGAAGCTTTTGACGTATAAACAGTCGTGCCACAACTCGTGCCAAATTAAAAAAAAAGAAATCGGGAGTGACACTGTTTTGTTTATTATAAATAAAAAGAAAATTGTTGTCGCTGCTAGTGTAATATGCTTGAATGCAGCTCTATTAATCGCACAAAGATTAAGAAATAAAAGACGACGGCGTTTTGGCAGAAGACCAAACAATAAAAATAGAGAATTAGAGGGAAATTATGCCACTCTGATTAGAAACATGTTGGAAAAAGAGGAAGACGATTTGCAATTTTTTAAATATGTTCGCTGGTAAGACTGGTTGAACCTTTTTTAGCAAAAACACAAAATAAAGGTGCAATTTCACCCGCTCAAAGGTTGATAGTAACCCTACAGTAAGTTTTTGTTTAATTTTATATTATAAAAAAAATTAAATTATGTAATAAAATTATTGTAGTTATTTGTGAGAAGGAAGTTCTATGCAAGAGCTAGCTTGGAATTTTCGATTGGGAAAATCCACTGTACATTATATAATTAAAGAGACAACAACTGTTCTGTGTAACGTACTACAGCCCAGAGTGTTACCAGAGCTAACAAGAGACATATTAGCCTCTGTTGAAGATACATTCTACAAAAAATAGAACATACCCAACTGTATCGGAGCTGTTGATAGGAAACACATCCATATACAAGCACCAAAAGCATCGGGAAGTGGGTTCTTCAATTATAAACATACCTTCAGCAGTTTTAATGGCATGTGTAGATGCGAATTATAATTTCATTATAGCAGATATTGGAGCTGATGGAAGAAATCATGACAGCACTAAAGAATCTTCTTTCGGGAGAGCTTTTTTAAATGGAAACATAGATATCCCTTTTCCAACGAAATTGCCTGGAAACAACATTATACTTCCACATTTTGTTGTGGGTGATGCCACGTTCCTCTAATGGAAAATATAATGGGACCATATCCCGGACAGTACTTAGAGCTAGAAAAAACATTTTCAACTATCGTTTATCCAGGGCAAGGATGACCGTTGAAAATGCCTTTGGTATACTTTGCCAGCGGTGGCGAATTCTACGGGGGCCAATCATAGATAGGGTAGACATAGTAGAAAATATTGTAAAAGCCACAGTAGTTTTCCATAACTTCCTTCGTATTGAACAGCAAAGCGAAAGGTACTGTCCCCCAGAATATGGTGATACTATTCAGTCAGAATCAGGGGAAATTATAAATGGTCAGTGACGAGCTGAACCAATGTCACTGCAAAATATAGGACGGGTTGGAAGCAACAATTCGGCAAGAAGGTTCCAGAAGAACAGAGACTTGTTGTGCGAATATTTTAACGGTGTTGGAAGTGTAACATGGCAATATGACCATGTATCGCGCGTAAGACCTTAAATTTTTTATATTAATAAAATATTGATAAATAATGTATTTTGTATCAACTCTATTAATTTTGAGTCAATTTGGTCCGCATTTGACTCCATTGAAATAATTGTCGAAACAATAACGCACAACAACCTTAATACGATAAAATACAAAACCTAACTGACCTAACCTCAATTTATAAAATAAAAC